ATCTTAGCCAGTTTATTATTGGTTGTGCGGGTTTCTTAAAGTCCTTGTTGGAACTCGCGACTGGTTATTTTAGAAATTTCGCGAGTGAAACTTTTGCCACCAGTGGCGTTGAATAAACCTTCACGTTATATCTTAAATCAATTAAAGTTGAAATCCAGCCAATGAAAGTAGATTCAGTGCTTCTATTTGTCAAGTATTTACCATTAGACCTAACGTTCCTTAGCTCGATACACAGTTTTTGTTGCGCACTGTTTTGTAGTCTCATATTTAAAACTAAAAAGCTGTCTATAGCTCCTTCATTTCTGCTAGTATTTCAACTGGGATTAGTTGGTAATGATTATTGAAATATTTCAACATATTTGTGTTAACAACTTTTAATAGCTGGATCATTCAGTTTTGACTGTATACATAGACGATAATCACTAATATATTTCTGTACATTAACCATTTAATGTGTATCAGTGTATTATTATTGTCAATTATTTAACCGTTATATTTTCTAATCAATTGACCTTCAAGATCAAATTATTGTTAGTATCGGGGGCGTTGAAATTATTGAATTCTCTTGAGATCACGAACAGATCTAAGTTTGATAACCACCTTCAACATAGGAACATTAGTCACCTAATTTATTTTAATGTGGGGTCACTCAACAGTGGACATCCACGACTGCACTACAAGGCCTCACGCACGAACGCTTAACGTTTAGGTCAATAAATCGGGATCCACTGGTGTATCGGTTTAACTCTATTCACTCTGCACAGTCTAAATAAAGTATTTTTATTATTATTAATTCATAAAATGCTTAATTAGTCGTCAAAACGTTCGACTTTTAGCCACTAAGTCCTAACTTCACTCTACCTACTTCGCTCTAAGTGAATGACAAGTATCGTTAGCCCTCATATTCATACTGCTGATACCCAAGTACCTGGTGAATGAGTTAATTTAATTAAAACTTTGTGATTCACTTTATTATTATTATTATTCCAATTAATGTTTGTGTTCGCACTAACATAGATATTTATTGTATTCACTTAAATAGTCGCCTCCGACTACTCGGGAACTGAACCAAAATCATGGAAACTTATCGATGAAGCCACAAAACCTTCAAATTTGATTCACATGGATCCAAACTTATTACCTTGGTTGTAAACAATGTTATTTTTTAAAGATTGTATCATATTTTGTCTTCTTGCATTTCATATCATCATCAGGTCACTATGGAAAATGATCATCCGGTTTTACTAAATTACCTCATTGTTTTAAATTCAATCTTCTTTGTTTCTTTTCGTGTAAAAAAAAGTCACAATGCTTTTTCTATTGTTCATTCTCCTTTCTTTTGATACTTACCTTAGAATTTTGAGATTTCCTTGTCTATTGTACTATTATTATTACTACTAATTGTCTTTAACGTTCAGTTGGATTTTTTTCTATCAATGTTTTCTCATGTTAAGAATGTTATTTTCAATGTAAATAGTAAATGCTGATGTATTTAAATTCTTTTTTATTGTTATTATTAAAAAAAATCAGTAGTCATCGGCTGCAAGAGTATATCTTCTGATTCTCTACACTTTACCTCCGTCTGTTCACATTTTTGTTATGCACTTTTACATTGATTCGGATTTTATTTCGAATCAGTCAAGTCACATCATAGTTAACTCAATTAGTAGTACGTTGTTGACCTAGTTACTTTTTTAATGATTGGATGATGTTAACCTCTGCACGTGACTTAAAGGATCTCAGTTCGATCGAGTGTTTTTGGTTGTACATATTCACAGACTTAACAAACATTTGTATAATCGTGTCCGTTTCTTAGCTGATGTTATTTCACAATCAAGCACTTTCTAATAACATCAAATTTTCATTTTAAATAAAGTTCGACGGAATGTAACATCCTTTAACCCTCCCAAAGACTATTATCATTTTATAGTGTTATTCATTGAGCTGGCTAATTGAGGATTTAAATCTTACTTACATAGTTAAAACTTATAAAGTTGTGTTCAGTATTATTGATTTTGTAAAGTTTCTAGATCTTCAATTGTTGCATTTATTAAAATATAGTGTTCTCAAATTTACGTTCCTAGTATACTGTAAATGCTACATAAAATACCAATATACTATCATTACAAATTAGCTAACCATCTCATCGGTTGAGAAATTCTTTCACTTATCTTAATTGGATTAACACTTTATATTGTCAATGAATCAAGAATGATTTTTTATAGATAATGAGATAAATTGGATGATACCTTGTCGAAATTAGGTACATGTTTTCCCCCACAAATGGTCGTTAAATAAAATTATTTAAAAGTTGTATTTTATCGGATCTTGGAATTACTGTTATGCCACAGAAATTGGATTGAATAGTTGAATAAGTAACATCTGTATCTTACGAAATTTTTGTAAGGACTGACTTGCAAAATATTCATTGTTAGTTGTTCGTCAACATACTTCTGTACATTCATACATAAATTGTAATAGTAGTTTGTTCTAATGCCCAAAATAATAAGATTGGAGTAGAAAACCTAACTGTTATAGAATAAATTCGCTTAATAATAAAACAATCAAAGGTATCGTTCGTTCAATTAGCTGGGTTTAGTAATTAGGTCATTTTCTTTATTGATTATTGTCGTTACTTTTATGAGACCTGGTTGTTATGTCCACATTATTTATTACTTGTACATGAAAAATGAGGAATCACTGCAACTCTCACGACACGAAGTAAGAACACTAAAACTGGTACATGTAAAGACTTATTAATCCCAATATACGACGATCTCTGTCGAAAAGACACCCTCAGCACATGGATTATAAATGAATGATGATTCTTTGAAAGAGATCATAAAAATTCAGGAATAAGTGTTCGCCCCCCCCAACTTACTTTGGTATTTGGAATCCTCTCTTTTGATCCCCTTTTAAATCAAGGAGTTTATGTTCCAATTGGATAAAATGGTTCGTACTGTTGTTCATATATTCTGATTGAAGTTCTTGTCAATTATATGCTAGTTCTGGACAAATCGTTTTTAGCAAGTTAGAAATAATATAGGGAGTTGTTGAGTGTTCAGTTTGTTATTTTGCATTGTCCGTCAAATTAGCCATCTAACTCATAACTCTTGAAAAGTATTTTCAAAAATCTTTAAATATCGTCAATGCGGTGTGGGGAGTACAAGATAAAGTGATAGTTTGTGACAATAATGGCAAATTTACTATGCAAACCCTCATGCACTAATTAACAGTATACTTCTCAGCAAACTTTCATCAGGTTTGAGAGTTTCTAACTCTGAACCAAGGTTTCAAATAGCGTTAAATTTTGTGAAAACCATTTTTTTACAGACAATATGGAAGTATTTTTGAGATATTGATAAGTTCAGTAAAATCTAAATATTAGAAATCCCCATGGTTACATTTAGACAATATGCAGCTTTACCTAATTAACAATAGTCATATAGTAGTTAAAACCAACTCATTTTTAGTGGTCCATCGTATACCTTCATCATTTGCCAATAAGGTTTAATACTGTCTCCAACGCAACAGAAGCTATAAAGATTCTAACCTAGTTTATGCGTTGAGAAGGTATTCATGATATCTTCATCTCTTTCTTAGCCGGATACGCCTTGAAAAACTTTAAATAATTTTAAAAATCCTGTATCTAGTTATCGTTCTTCACCTTACACTTATGTCTTACGCTATCTGATTATTAAAAATGAAAACAATAACTCATTGCGGTTTGAAATTACAAAACAAGACTAAAACATACCGCAGAAGGGAATTAGGGACAAGAAAGAATGAAAGGTTGAACTTTTGTTCGCACAGAGAGTTTGGGTTTGCATTGATAGATCGCCAACGCTTCAGTAGTGCAAAAGTTTTCGATTCAGTTCATTTGATTGTGTAGATTACTTTGAAGGAAGATTCCTTTGTAGCAACCTGCCCAAAGTTGATTGGGTTCCTCTGTATTGAACTTGTGATTGTTTGGTATTCTCCTTTTAAAAGCCACGCCTAGTAATATTCTGAGATGCGTCCGAAAAGTGATCGCTTTGCACAACCAATGTAACCTACCGCACAGAAGCAAGTAAATTTATAGATGAATCAAAACAAGAGTTTATACTTAACACATCGTGAATGGTAGGCCAGCTTGAGAAGACAATACGAAGCTTAGCTGAATAGATTTTATTCAGGGATTTCGAAATCCGTTTATTCATGAGTTTGGGAGCCGTATCTCCCTTAAATTCCATATTCATGAAAAAGGTTTTCTTTTGAACTGTCGTTGCTTTCCTAGGATTTCGTCTTGATGTCGACTTCCTGTTGACAAATCTAGGTGGATAACAATTTCTAATGAGTATCTGTCGAAGTCGAATTAGTTCGTTATCTATTGTTTAATGAGAACATATTCGCCTAGTTTTCGAAGATAAATAGTGCATTAAGTTTATCTCTCTATGCAATGGTACTCAGCTATGGAAATTCGCATACTGATCACTCCAGGTCGGTATTTTATGCTCAAATGTAACGAACCATCCGAGCTTCTTTTCAAAAAGAACAAAAAAAATGAAATTTCGCGTTCTCGTCCTCTTTTAATCTGAATTTAATTGAGTGATAGTTATTGAATCGATCCAAAATTTCATTGAAGTCCATATCTTCTTTACAAACACAGTCTAAAGTTGTGAACATTATTTATTCATTTTTCTATAATCAGATCAGCCATAAATACAGTATACATTTCGATTCAACGTACATATTAATCTTTTTATTCTTTTACTGACAATCATGTAATAATCATTGACGTTCATTACTCTTAATCAGAAATATTGTTCAACTATGTTTGCCAAGTTATTTTACTTTTATATTTCGTTCACGTGATAAGACAATTTTTTTTAAAACTAAAAAAAACATTTACTTGTTAGTGTCTTGGATATTGTTACATTTTATTTATTCCCTTTTGTTTTGTTTAATTGATATTTACATATCGATATGAAATTCCAATTTTTTTTATTTTTTAATTCAACCAATCCTAGGTCAGTTAAACGTGGCCAATCTTTGTTTATATACATATTACAAAATGTTTGATAATGAGTACAAATAAAGCTTATATAACCATATTGTATTTGCTCAACTAAACTACACTGAACTGTGAACTACGTGTGTGTAATTGTATGTTTTGATATTATTATATGATATTTGCTATTAGATTTCTTCATTAACTATATAGTACATAACCGTAATAATGGGAGAACAAGTTGTCACTTCACAACCTATATCAGGTGTAAGTTTGTTGAACTGCTTAATTTTGTTAGTTGTAAACGTTAAAACTTATAATTTAAATCCACTGAATTAAAGCTTTAACTCAACTTATCTACCTAACAGGATTTCAGTAGAACATTAGCATTCCTAGCCATTCAGAAACAAAATAACTCAGAAGTTTAAATCCCTGACTTCCTGTCATCTAGTTGCATGATCAAATGTCCCACCTCTTATTTCAATTTAGCCAGATGAGCTAAATACTTAATCCTCTTTCAACTAAGTGCATAAACAAACAGTACTGATTACCCTAACTCAGAGTCTACTGCATAAAACTGTAGTTCTTAGGTGAATTCTTTTTAAGTGAACAGTTACTGTTGTATTATGAAAATAAAAATCATACATTACTCTGTATTAAAATCACCACGTTTATAACAGAATTTAATTGACCTAAAATTAGCTTTGGAGTTGTTGGTGTATTTCAAGGCATTTACTACTGGTAGTTTAAAATTCTTGTCAACATTGTTACCTTTTCCACTTTCAGAATAATAAAGATTGTAAACAACCGATCTACGCCTGCAAAAGGCGAAGTGACTTTTACCTACGTTACTCACATTTACCTGCTGTTGGTTTAAGTCATGTTAAGATTTGATGACTTGATGGTTGAGGTCAGAGTGATAATTCCAACCAATTACGGATTTCATAAGATGGCTTGGCTCAAAATCAGTCGTAGTTGCATAGTTGTATTTATTCTCTATTTTCTTTTATACTATAACCCTTCATATTATTCCATACGATTTACTTCTCTATTGTCTCATTTTGTGTTTATTTTTTTGTGATATCAGTCATTGTGAATATTAGGTGGATTGCGATGAGATAATATTAATACTTTTCACGTTTTTGGTTATATATCTTGGTTGTTTACTCTCTCGTTGTGCTGATTTGAAGTGTAATAACTTGAGGCGATATACATCGTACGCAATTAATGAATGACTGGTTGACAGAATAAAAATAGGGTCATATGAAAAGAAGATAATTAAAAAAATTATAATGTAAACAGAGAAATAAAGAAGTCATGATAAACAGCGAGAGCTAGTTTTGGGGTCACTATTTCACTTGATTCGCAGCCTGCAAAATACTAACATTTAGTTTGGTTCCCAGGTATGAAACATAAGCTTTCGCTTGATGCATGATTCATTGTCATAGCTTTATCTGTTCCGAAGCTATTATGATTGAAACAAAACATTTTGTGCCCTATTTTTCTACTCTAATGCTTAGTTTGGACATAATTATATTTTTCTAATTGTTTATGCGTTATGGTCAAGTTAATTATCTAATCGTTCATGTATCTTTTTACTCTAATCTGAATCAGGAATAAATCAAATAAGGTTCCAGTTGACTCATGTTCTTTCTCTTATTTGTCAAACAATAGCCTATTATATCAATGTCTTAACCTAGAACGATACAAGTTCTCTCCCGTATATAATTCAGTAGACAAATCAAGGATTTAACAATTTCCCTCAGTATTCTATTCGGTATATATTAAATATAAGAATAATTGTCATAAATATGAAGGTTACGTTTTGTAGTAAAAAAATGTCTCAATTGCATTTATTATAGTGATAAAATCATAAGTTATTGTCAGATGTAATACAAAAAATGTACTTAAAGTTCGTAAAACTTTTTTTTTCATTTTATATAAAAATCAGGTAGAAAGTTTCCTTTAGTTTTTATTGTATCCATATGTAATTCAGAATAGTTTATCCTAATACAATGGACTTAATAATTTCCTACTGTAATATATTTGCTTTTAATTCACTTGGTATTGTTTGTTTGGATCTTCCCATCGATGTGTTTCGGACTGCAACTGGTCAGTCTCTAATTGGCATATGTGCATACTGTGCGTATTGCCTCGATATACCTTAATTCACAAGCATGGTAAGCAGAGATGGATAGTGGCTAGCAGTGGAATCCAGGACGCGCGTTTCGTCCTATTTGGGACTCGTCAGCTGGATGTACCTGCATCTCAGAGTTGATGTTCACTCTGGGACTCGAACCCAGTACCCTCGCTTCAAACGCCATCGCGTTATCCACTCGGCCACTGAGTCGACACAGTAGATATTGAACTTTTTTACTGCTTTTACTGCAATTGACATTATCACTTCCATAATTCTTTACAAATTCCCATTTTCACTGAAACATAGATAAGGTGTAGTTTAGTACTACAAGCTGACATTAATTAGGTAGTCATAAGAAACTAGGAAGCATTGGATATATTTTTCGTCTTAGTATAGGAACTCTTTGGCATTACCCACCAACAAGCCTAACTTAAATAACGAACTAAGGACCTTCTTGTCTCGCGGTTAGCCCGTAACCTCCAGACCACTAAGTACGTATTGATAATGGGATTCTCTTGCTTCGTTTTTACATCTTATTGCAACCATTTTTGCCAGATGAAAAGTTCGGAGCTTACTTGCTTGTAACAAATTACTTTTAACAAGGCCCATCATTATATCATTGAATCTTAGCCTAATTGCTGATGAGAGAAAGATGAGCTAAGATAGAACTGTTGACAGCCTGAATTATAGCTCCACATAGTTATAACTGAAAACGTCCATGGGAACTGGAAAGTGATTTTATGATATTTACCAATGTAAATTGCTTTTCAGAACCAGTTAAAGTGACAGATAAGTAAAAGTATGTAATAATCTGACATTTTTAAATGCGTTCCTTAACGTAAGAATTCCTATCTCAATTAGAAACACGGTTATATTAAGGAGTACATATAGTCAACGAACTTTCGTAAAACAATATGGTAGCCATATTGAAAATAGTTATTTCAAAACTACCTTGCTTTTCATGACCTTATTTAGAAAAAAACTATTGATATTAGTCAAAAATCATAATGCCTTGTTTGTTCACTAGTATCATGGGGAGTAAATATCGCTCAGTAATGTATCATTGTGAATTATCTCTCAATCAACATTCATTTCATTCATTCCAACCAATTATCATTAATCTTAATAATACTAGCTACGGTAATGAAATAATAGATTAGGACTCAACAGAAAAATAATAAAATCTATCGCCTTCAGTATATATGTGCAAGCAATTAGTGTCAACAAGATTATTTCAACTCAACTTGTTATGTCCCAATAAGAATAATGAATGGTAACTTTGGAATCCGTTTGCGGACCAACACTATGCGTACACTTTTTATCGTATAATTAATTTATTAAATAATTAAACGATTCATATTCATGTCCCTCTTATTATGAGTTTTATTTATAAATTAGCGTCGATAGGAATCCTAGTTATTCAGTCCCAAAGAAAAGCCTTTATATAAGTCTGGAATTTAAAGGTGATCGAACATCCGACAGAATTAAAAATCGTTTAACAACAACGATTAAAAGGACATTTAACGCTGCTAAACTACGAATAACGTTCACTAGTAAGAACTTATTCTCTGTATCTATAAAAGATAAGCTCCCGCGTTCGGTCGCCTCTATGTGCATCTACCAGTTCACCTGCTCTTGTGGAGCAAGGTACATCGGCCGTAGCCAACGCTCGCTTTCAACTCGGATACGAGAACATATACCAGTTTGGTTCTACAATGGTGAAAGGAAAACGGTTAGAAGTTCTATACTTGAACACCTAATCGATTGTAATCATTCGACGAATCCACAGTCTGATTTTAAGGTTGTTTATATGATTCGTTCAAATCTACCAAGATTTCTTCGTATCAAACTCTTAAAAAATAGCCGAAGCTCTTACCATCCATGAGCTCAAACCAGAACTATGCGTACAAAAGAAGTACGTCTTATCATTATCGTTATCATGGCCTTAATATTATTATTATTATCATTCTATCATTATTATTATTACTCCATTCCCCCTTTACTTGTCTTGTATTCTCATTATTTTATTCATGAATACTCATCATATCATCTTATTTATTTTACACCTCTATGACCTTTAATTATTGTAACCAAAACATTTTAATTATCTTATTCTATTCAATAAATCTATTGTTATTATTTGTATTACGTAATCTAGTATTATAATCTTGGTTATTAGTGTTCACATTTCCTCACGGAATTAGTACTTTAACAAAACTTTTTCATATATATATATATATACGATTGTACAGCTTGATAATAAATTCGTTGAAAAGAGATCCCTTAGCTGAACTTCGTGTTTTTAATTGTAATGTTTAAATGGGAATTATATGCCAATATTATTATACGATTTACCATTCTTGAGTTATGACATATCTACCCATTACTATCTCCGTTATTCACAGCCACATTTGGTTAAGTCTTGTACAAATTTTAATAATTGAGATCATGAGTCAATTGAAGTTAGACCACCATGGAAAACTTGAAAGCACTGGACAACCGTTTCGTCCTATTGTGGGACTCCTCTGCAGTGCTCATCCACGATCCCACACTCGCGAGATTCGAACCCAAGACCTAACAGTCTCGCTTAACCTCTAGAACCACTGAGTCGGCATCCAAAGGTGTTAATGTCTTGCTTCAACCAATCCACGAAATTGAGTGACACATCCACCATTATCTTGAGTAAGTTACTATCTCACAGCAGAAATCCACTGGTCATGATCTTAACTATTAAATTTACTATAAAATCTACAAAACCCTTTCTGATGAAATTATTATTTAAATCAAAAATCTTATCAATAATTTCTTTGAAGTTTTATTTAATCATTTAAGTCATACATCAATAAACATAAATTAATTAATTAATTATGATCCGTTTTCTTTTTTGTTGCTTCTTGTCTAATTTAATTAAAATATTATTAAATATCTATTAAGTATTAAAAAGAAATAAAATCGTTTATTGATTATTTTTTATGCACAAAAATAAAAATGTGTTTATTGAAGAGAAAAACTGAATTATAATTAATAGTTCATTTTAAGTACATCATTTCATTGACATTTTTCCCCCTTTAATCTATTTCCTAATTTTTATTCCCCCTTCTCTAGTTCAATGTAATATACATGTACATACATACACAAACACACACACACACACAAAAACTCTCCCATACACATACGCACACAAATATAAACATTTCTTATGATTACTTTGTCCGGATTTTCAACACTTTAAAATCAATCTACTTTCGTTTTTTTCTCGTATAGGTCAAATCTATACTTATGTAATAAAACAAAAAATCAATAATAGAAATAAATATGGTGTAAACTATTATAATATCCGATTAAAATTGTTCCCCTTTTTTGATTTAGTACTGTATCAAGTGTTTTAGATCGTTTTATATTTATTATTATTCAATTTTATTATGTGTATTTTTTTTTAAATAACACCTTATAGAAACAATTTAATTCCGTAGAAATCATGATTCAATAATAATCACTGTCATTACTTACTTACTTACACCTGTTTCTCCCAATTGAACATAGGCCGTCAATCAGCATTCTCCAACCCAACCTGTCCTGGGCCTTCTTCACTAGTTCTATTCAACTTTTGTTCATTCTTCTCATGTCTGTCTCCATTTCTCGACGTAATGCGTTGTTTGGTCTTCCTCTTCTCCTTTGGCCTTCAGGATTCCATGTGAGGGTGTGCCTTGTAACGCAGTTGGGTGCTTTCCTCAATGTCAATCACTGTCATTATTATTATTAGTTAATTTGACTTGAAAAGTTCTACGTTAGTTGAAGTGACAGTTAAAGAAAATAACTAATCACATGTTGTACAGTTGTAGGGATATATATTATATATATTATTCTTTTTAAATAACTAACATTAATGAAATCAATTACAAACTATGTAGAATAAATTGAATATGTAGTTCAATTCATTTGGTGTTGTTTATTTGTATCTTTCCATTGTGGTTTAGGACTGTAATTGATCTGTCTGTTGTTGGCATATGTGCATTCTGTGTGGATTGCCTCGATACTGTCTAAAGTCATAAGCTTTTGAAGTAAAAATGGATGATGAATAGTAGTGGATTCCAGGAAACCTGTTTTGGCCTATTTGAGACTCTTCAGCTGGATATACATACATCTCAGAGTTGATATTCACTCCGGGATTCAATATATATTTATACAGTTTGATAATGATGTATCTTACATGAAGTTATTATTCATATCGAGTTACATATTCATTTACATGCCTTCAATTTGCAACAAAAATTACATGAAATCATTTGTAGACTAATAGTATTTCCCATTAAAATAATTATTTAAATAATAAGTAAATTTAATACATATGAAAGAATAATGTAGACATGTGGTCGGTTTGTTTGCAATTATGATTATGAATGTTCGCGAGGCGGGATCGTGGATGCGCACCGCTGAGGAGTCCCACAACAGGACGAAACGGCCATTCAGTGCTTCCAGGTTTTTCATGGTGGTCTAACTTCAACTGACTCATTATTTCAGCTATATAAAACTGTATATGATTTGAATGCAAAGTACCTGGAAGTGAAAACGTAACGTGTACTTGATAATGTATAAATAATTTTATCTTATAAGCCATGATTTTAAGTAAACGTTAAACAAAGTTATATAACACAAGACTCTAAGCCTTTAAGTAAATATATACATCCCATATGAATGAAAATTAAATTCATATGCTTAAATCAATGCTTGATTAGATAAAACAACTCAATTGACACATTTTAACTGTTCTTTCATGGTATTCTATTCTGTTGTAAAATTCATTATTTCAGGTTTTACACTAATCAAATTAATCAGATATCTTATTTCTCCTAATTTTTTTCCACTTCTTTATTTATTTGTTTATTTATGTATCTATGTTTGTAGAGAAAATTTTGAATATGTTACATAGAAATCATATGTATGATGAACCATTGTATACTGTTCAATGACTGAAATGTTTTGGAGTTTAATTACACTTTTTAATTACTGATTAAACATTTTTTTATTACAACTTAGTATTCTAATCAATAACAATATGTTCACTTGGTGTTGTTTACTTGTATGCAGAGATGCAGGTACATCCAGCTGACGAGTCCCAAATAGGACGAAACGAGCGCCCTCTATTCCACTGCTAGCCACTATCTATCTTTGCTTATAAATAACAATATGTTTTTACTAAATGCATAAATTAATTTACACTTTAATATGAACATCAACTCACATTGGAATATAGGCATATGTAATAGATAAGTCTCAATTACAATGGAAATTGTACTTTTCACTTTAAACCGATAAAATGATACTTATTTTAGTTAAACATATAGCTTGAATTTAAATTTTTTACTGCTTTCTTTTTGTATATGAATAAGTTGTGTATTCCTGTGTACATTTTAGTTTCATGATTGACAATTTATGTAATAATCTTAATAATACATTACTCTTTCCTTCTCAAATATTAACCTCAATCAACCTATAGTTGTAAAGAAGATCATATGAGTTGTCCTTAGAATGGTTCAATTTGTCAACAAAAAAAGGAACTATTTTTATTCATTTGAGTGTTATATTTAAATTTCATTGATATAGGATTAAATTATAATCAGTTAGTTTTCAGGTGATATTGTAATCAATTTAGTTAGATATATATACAACAGTAACTAAATAAGTTTAATGTTTTTTGTTACTATGCGGAACTAAATTAAACAAAAATAAATGTTTCTTTTCCAAATTTCTATCGTATTTGTAATATAGGCTCAATTTATTTAATTAAATATATGTTAATTTTATATAGTTGAGGTCATAAGTCAATTGAAGTTAGACCACCATCGAAAACCTAGAAACACTGGACGGCCGTTTCATCCTATTGTGGGACTCCTCTGCAGTGCGCATTACCACCGTTGGATGCCGGCTCAATGGTTTATCGGTTAAGTGCTCTGGCGAGGTCTTTTAGAAATGATCTAGATAATGATGAAATTTAATGAATTGACCATATGGTACATTTAATTACAGAAAGCACCACAGTACTCCAGTCTCATCTTAGATGTTCTTATTTTGTTTTAATGAATTGTATATTAAATAGATTTTGAAGTACTATTGGATTACTTCTATCTTGATTCGATATTTTTGAGCTTATTTAATGAAATGAAAAGCTGCTTGTACTTTATTTTAAACAAACTGCTTCACATTTGTTATCAACATCCGAAATCTAGGTGACAGTTACAAACTTTCGTCCCATGAAGATGCTTCTCCATTGAATTTATTAAAGATATGGAAAGTTTTAACAAAGCAGAAAAAATCGTCTATGTTTAAGTTTATCTTTCCTCGACATTGAGGTATTTGAAATTCTATTAGTGATAATGATCATCGACTGAGATTGATAGTGGCTAACAATGGAATTCAGGACTCACTTTACATCCACTGCTAGTCACCATCCATCTCTGATTATAATCCCTATGACTGAATGATAATATCGAGACAATTCGCACAAGATTCAAATATGCTAATAGGAGACTTATCGATTGTAGTCCTAAGGTATCAATGGGAAGATTCAACACAACCAACGCAAATGAGATAATGATTATAGTTTAACTAAACCTATCGTAGTTATATCATGATGTGCCTATTAATTTCTACTTTTTCTACAAGTAAGTAACAGATTAATTTTTCATGAACGGCAAAACTTGACAAAGCAGTGATTATATAAGCTGATCATCATGGTCATTAATTAATGAATATACTGGGATCATCATTCAAACCGCTTGCTTATTGATTTATGCAATATGAATAGTCTTGTGATGCAAACTGATTTCATGGATTTAACTTTTCTTTAAGTATAAATGTTTATCCTATGAAATTTATTAAATAAACAGCTGAGTTAAACAAAATAAAAAGTGGGTAGTAGTTGGTGAGTTCAGTTTAGAAAAGTGAAAACACCAAATCGTTGCAAATATAGATTTAATTGAAGGACATTACCAATAAGCATCTTTGTTGTATACAAAGACAAGCAAACCGAATAACTCATTAAACTATCAGATATATTCAATAAAAAGAGATTTGGCCTGTAACAATTTCTGATTACTCCTACTTATTCACAATTAATAGTTAGAACAGTTTTAATCCTTATCAAAATTGTCGATCCTGATTCAGTGATATTCTAATATATATCAGGTTTTTAGATGATCGTTCCGTTTTTAAAATCATATCTCTTAGTCGCATGAAAATTTAAATTTTAAAATTTGCTTTAACATTTCTCTGTAAAAAATGGTTTATGAAAAAAAATATATCAAAGGTTAAATAACAATCTTCAGTAAACTTTACGCTTTCTTTACAATCATACAAGCTACATTGTGTAGTTCTTACAAATTAGTTGTTAGTGAAATGTCATTCTCAGTAAAATGTATTCATGCACAATATGACTACTAATGAGTAGACAAATGTTTAGAATAAAAAACATATTGTGCTTAAGAATCTTATGAATTTTCTGATCTGTTCATCAGGCAATACATTTTTATTCATTGACTCGTATAGATTTTCAGAAATGAAAGATTGATTATTTTTGAAGATAAGACAATTTACAGCTTACTTTATAGGATGAACGTAAACGACCTCAGCTTCTCGTTATTATTAGTTTGATCTGATTATGTTCGTAACACTTCACTTGTCACGGATAAACATTTGTAACAGAAAAAACACAGTTGATTATCTACTTCGCCTCCTTTCTTATTGTTCTATATCCAATCCCACGTCTTCCAGTTAATTTCAGTTCGTAATGAAATGAACGTCAGATCACTTTTTATTGATTGAAATTCCAGTTACTATTTGGGATACTTTTTATGTTTCTGTTGGTTAATATAGTTACTATTAATTACTTCGATACCATCTAATGATCAACTCTTTTTTCTTCCAGACAATTGAAGAGACCAGAGAATGGGAGTCAGGTTTATTTCAGTGTACAAATGACCCTGCTAGTTGTAAGTTTTTTACAAACTGAAACATTTATTTTATGACAATTATTATAATAAAATATATTGGATTTGTCAACTGAATAACTGGTGACGTTTTTCTTGAGATCACAAATCGACCGAAGGTAGAAAACTGTTGGAAATCAAGAAGTTATGGGCATTCGTTTTGTTCTATTATGGAACTCCTCAGAACTTTGCATCCATAACCCTGACACACGAAATCGAACCCATAATCTTCAGTCTCTCTCGAACATTTAACTCCAGGGTCATTGAGCTGACTTTGTGTGGTTTTCAACTCTAATCAGCTAATAATATTACTCAACCACGTTCCATTATTCGAGACGAAAGGCGATGATGATTTAATTTTATCCATCAAACTGGAATGTTATCAATTGTCTAAATATCACAAAATCATAGGGTAATTCGTTTTTGCATAATGGGTTTGAAAGTAGTTGTCAAGACGGATTGAAACTAGGTTTCTCACTAACTGACCGCTAGGCAACAGAGTGCATCTCAGTTGTAGAGATTTGTTGCAAGCTAAGAAGCTCATGGGTAAAGTCTCTCACTATGACAGTGAACAACGCGAGTTTGATTCCCAGCAAATCACAAGCATAAATTCCAGACGAGTGTTACCTAACACAAAAACTAAATGTCATTTGCTCAACTCATGTCATTGCATAAACATTCAAATATGTTTATAGCGCGATTTAGAAATTTATTCTCGTCAACTTTGAATATGGTTGATTATATGTAAACAAATGTACTAACGGAAGGATTTGACTTGGTGCTGTCTAAATCAGCCGTCATTTGTATAATATCAGTCAGTCACAACTTAAAACCTCTGCATGTACACATCGAACCGAGTTACCATATCCCATTATCACAGAGGTGAAGTTCTCAGGCCGAATCCCATAGTAGTAGAGATAGGAAGAGTAACAGTGGTGGTAGGCGAGATTAGGTTTCGAAGATATGAGTTTAACAGAAAATATAAATTAGCGGAACTAAAACAAGAAGAGCTATGAAGTGTTTCGAATCTGAGAATTTGGGAGAAGACAAAGACTGGATGCACCAGTGCCATTATAAACGACTTTGAACCATGTGATTCAAAGTCACTAAACATTTGTTACGTCAATCACACGGACACCGCCCTAAGGTCAAGGGATAAGACGTCGAAAAGTACGACTATTTCCCAAAACCTATCAAAGGGCAAATATTTAGTCTATACATTTACTCCCAGCTCCGAAACCATCCTGATTTTCTCTAATGTTCTCTTCACATGTTATAATTAGACGTCGATGTATTGTTAGAGCTAATATTTTACACAGTATATTAGTTAAACCTATTCCTCTTTGATTATCACAAGAGGATTGTTGTCCTTCCCTGTAGACTGGGATGTTTAGATGGGATGACGTTCACTTTCCAGATTTTGGATAAGATTTTAATTAATCTAACGGCTAAAATTGGACCACTATCCCCAACACTTTCAGGGGTTAGTCCATCAGTATCTGTTAATTATTTACTATAATCCCAAGTGATTAGTAATACCATGAAAACGCCAATATAACTAATGTAATCTTTATGTGTAGTTACGTTAATAGTGTGTTCTTGATTTTTATTACTGAAATAACTGAAAAAAAAACTCATTGTTTAACAACTGGTTGCATATTTTGTGTAACTATTAAGAAATTATGGAGTGGCTCATCAAACATACTACTTGCACCATGTGTATATCAATAATAAATTCAGTTTAATTAAAAATTTTCATAGAATATTGAAAAGTGATGTATTTTTTGATTGGATAATTGTTTATCATAATAACCAGATATTACTATTAGAAACCAGTAAATATTAGATTACAATAAATATGGTACAAGGAATACAGATGAAACTTTATAATGAATCAATCGACAGTATTAATCAAACACAGTGAAATTCACGTCCATGACATCCTAGTGTTCTTTTTCTTTTCTTTTTTTGGATTTGGACGATTCATTTAACATTTAAAAGTGTTTGTCTGGGTTTTTTTTTAATTTAGGCTGTTTGGCACTGTTTTGCCCATGCCCATATTTATGCTATTTATATTCATATGCCAATGAACCGTGTTGGTTGCCATGTATTGGTGCTGGAACTGGTCCACTTAGAATGCGACAACGTTTTAGGCATAAAATTAAAGTAAGAATTATTATTTGTTATAAATTTTTCTAATTCTTACATCATTATTGCTTGTAGAAATGTGTATATATACTCAATGCTTATGAAGAAAGGACTCATTTTTGTATAAAATTAAACCAATTCTTATTAGTGTGATCAGTGTAATATATTAACATTGTTACATCTAGAGCCTAGATTCTTAATATACCGCATACAATTTAAGCACTCAAACGCTAGAACCCTCCAAGTCGCAATTGACAAGACAAGTGTTATATGTGTTACAAAACTCCAAGGTATTTATAGTTTTTAGTAACAACGAAATCATCATTACGGTCCTCCAATCCACATACAGGGTGTTTTTAGCATTTGTCAAACAGGGAAGCTACACGTGGAGATTTTGCAATATTCTTTCAAAAGATGAGTGGATGGAATATCTTCGGCTTTTTCTGAGCTTTTTAGAGCTTCCTCGAGTTCACCCGTGGACGGTCCTCACAGAGATAAATAGTATTTTCATTAGAATCACTGTCAGTAAATATCAATGGAATACTTTTTAAAAAAAAACGGAGCTTCAATTCCACTTGTTGTTGTTTACTTGTATCTTCCCATTGTTATCTTGGACTGCAGTTAATAAGTCTTTTATTGGCATATATGTATCCTATGCGGACTGCCTCGATATTGCCTGAAGTCACAAGCTTTATAAGCAAAGGTGGATATTGGCTAGCAGTGGAATCCAGGACGCGCATTTCGTCCTATTTGGGACTCATCAGCTGGATGTGCCTGCATCTCAGAGTTGATGTTCACTATGGGACATTATTAATATTAGCTTTGTTCAATATTATAATTTTAGTACAATATAGAATTCTCAGCACAAAGTATTTCAACAAGTTCCCGTTTCTTACTTCTTGGTCGATCCTGACGATAAATATTTAGTGATCGGCATTTAGAAATTAGCAGTCCAGTTAACCAACATCTGAATAATGTACATTCTTTTCGCTGCATATTTCCAGCAACCACGATATCTCTGATTAGGCCTTTTGTAACCTTTGCAGCGAAAGGTTGTACACGTTTCAGAAAAACACCTGAATAGGTTGTGCAATTAATAGCCATAATGATGTATTAAAACAAAGAAAATTAGATAAGTTGTTGAAATATCTAGATGACAGGTAGCTCAGATGTTTAAGCAGGCCGCTAATTATGATTAATTGCTAGTTAATTATTTTCTATAATTGGCCATAATCTTTTGACCGTCGTTCTATACATCATTTCAACCATTGAATTTTTGTAACAATTTCTAAGCTTTCTATTTGAATTGACTTCAGTTCTAATCTCTGAAAGAATGTATTTCATTGTATTTTCATTTCATCTTAATCTTTTTTTCTTTTTTAGGGTTCAATAACTAATGACTTTGTACTATCATGCATATGTACACAATGTGTTATGTGTCAGTTAAAAAGAGATATGGATTATGTCATTAAGAATGATGGAGATGTTTAAAATGTCTACATGAAATTCAATATGGTCAAGTGAAGAAATACATCATTTATTTGAAAAGGCATCAAGTCTCATACAATAAAAGATAAATATGTGTTAAACAATATTCAATTTTCTTTTTCAGTTTAAATAAAGTAATATAAAGAAATATTGAATTCAATAATTATGATTGATGGTATTGGTTATTATCTGTGGAGTAATTTGTTAACGAATAAAATCATTGGATTATGTTGATACTTTTCTCGTTATACTTCACTTTTGTTTTAGCTCATTTACTACTGAGTAGGTTATATATATATAAACAAAATGAACATTGAGTAATAAATTGTATTCATACTTCATTTCGAGCTGATAAGTTTTTTCAGAACTAACTGATAATATGTACAACCTAATAAAAATGACTATTTTAGAAGTATATGAAAGAAGGAGGATCTGATGTAGATGGAAAGGCAAGGATGGACAAAGTAAGGACAGAAATCCTACAATTGAAAAATATATGAAACTCAAAACAACTGTCTGTCAACCAATATCATAGTCACAATCTTCAATACGAACGTCAAGATAATTCTACTGTATAGAGCTGAAACATAGAGAACTACCACAACCATCATTAAAAAGATACAAGCATTTATAAACAATTGTCTACACAAGATACTCAATATCCACTGACAGGATACCATCAGCAATAGCCTACTGTGGGAGATTACGAACTAGCTTCCAGATCAAGAGGAGTTTAGGAAAAGACATTGGGAGTGAATAGGACACACCTTGACGAAATCACCAAAATGCACCATAACGCAAGCGTTAAACTTGGAATCCTGAAGGGATGATGGATAACTGAAGTAAGTAAAACGAAACAAACAGATTATCTAGTTTTATTTGACTACTTGGTTAGGAAGGGGTTTTCAACTAATAAAAATTTCCATATAGTTTTCATGATGTAACGACACTATTATTTTGTAGATTTATTGAAAACGAAGAACAACTGAAAAGCTGACACTTTCTAATATGAAACAATTCGAAAATGTGAGTCAATGGATTTCAATCATACAGTTCGAATTCATGAATCATTCATCTAGTAGTACAGAGCCAAATCTTGACAATACATCAACAAAATTTAGAAATTACAATATACACATGACCAATCCATAAGTGCAAGAGGACTGAATGATAGATCTGTAGTAAGTTAACAATCACTTTGTAAAGGCACAATTTACAGGTAGAGGAACACATGAATATAATAGTTTAAGTATTTAATGACTATATTACGAAAATATAAACGATGACCAGACAGGACTATCTTTGTGATGCGACTCTCTCCCTCCAAATGTAAAATGTTACTTTGTCTGTTAGGGAGAGCAGAAGTTGGACACATCGAACGCCTCCCTCTCTTATCATAGAAAGTCTCATTAGTGCTGATCGCCCAGTGTCTGAAAAGATTCCCACACGGATTCTAAAGGCTCGATTAGTTTTTGCAACTTGCACCACTTCTTCTAACCAAACGGTGAATTAGCTCTGCAGCAGTTCCCTCCGTCCTAATTTATGGTTGTGAATCATGGTCATTACGTGTAGAGGATATGCTTAGGTTACTGGTATACAGTTGTGTGTATCTACGAAGAATTGCTCGTGTATTCTGGGATTGCAAAGTAAGCGATCCCTAGGTTAGGAATACAGTACGAGGTAAAGATTGGAAACCGACTGATCAGGTAGGAAATCTTCATTAACTGAAATGGTAGGGACAAGTGCAACATGTACCCAACCACAGCCTACTTCGTCCAGCGACATTTTCTAGTACAGGAGTAAACTGGAAGAGATCAATGTGTAGTTACACACTAACTGGTTGACGTCCGTGTGACTATCACAACCAATGGTTGATTCTAAATTACATGGCTCAAAATAGTTCGTAGTGGTACAGGTGCATCCAGTCTTTGTCTTCCATCAAATTCTCAGATTCGAAATTCTTCATTACTCTTCTTGTTTTAATTCCACTAATTTACATTTTCTTTTCAAGTCAAATCTTGCCCACTACCACTGATACTCTTCCTATCTCTACTATTGTGGGATTCGGTCTGAGAACATCTCTGTGCTAATGGGATATGACAAACCGGTTCGATGTGCACATGTAGGAGTTCTACGTTATGAGTGGCTGAATAATATACCTACACATGAAAAAGACTCTAAAAGCATCACTTTGGCTTTTATTTTAAGGAATTACTACCAATCTACAGATTTACGATTTGCTTCACAAGCTGAAAGTTTTAAATAACAGACTATTTGCTTTACCGTCTGTTATAGTTCTATCATTACGATTAACCAGGTGACAAAAACAAAATTACTTGTCTATTTCTAAGTAATTATTTCCTATGCTCGAACAGAAATACCTTAAGTCCACTTTTTCATAATAATTTAACAGCTAAAATTCACTATCGTGTTAAATAGGCATACGTCCTGTGGTCCAAATGACAGTGCAAAATGTTAAGAGTTTGATAATCGATATTTATGCTCTCTCGCTCTCTAAGTGATATTTCGATAGATTTTCAGAATTACGACTTTAGTTCAAACTTTAGTAAACGGTCAATTTGTCATCCTTGTAATAATTAATAATATACCACTCAATTGACCCTGAGATAATAACCCTTAGTGCTTGTAGTAATCAGTAGTTATTTATATTCTACCGTCAACATACAGTTGGTAACATTTAGACAACATTATATACATATATATTTAACCGACTAAGCAAATGTATATCAGATGTTCAATAGTGACTAATGTTGAGACGAACTCCCAGAGTCCTAATAAATAGTCTTTATGAATGAGTCGAGAGAAGCCCCAATTACAACATTAGTTTACGAACAGAAATAATGAGATTGATCGAATTTTGTGAAACCCTACTACTGTGAAAGCAAACTCAAATTAGTAGGGAAATTTGTAGTTAATCTATCAGGACATGACAAATAAGTCATCTCTTTCATAGAACTCTCTCGTATTGTTTTATTGTGTGCTGCTGATCGGACGACGTATCTTCAGAATCCTCTCAACCTTCTAAAACATTTCTGAGAAGCTCTCAAGGACTGTTAGGCACAATGAACACACACATATGGTACAGTTTAAACTATAACAGTCTACACAGATTTCGTAATTATCAAAATGGAAACTACCTTGCTCAGTGAAAATACATAACTCAAATACTTATTTTACCAAAGAATTTTATTCTTTATCAACAATTCCAATTTGTGTGCACATTATAATTATTCCTTTTTAACATGAAACTAGTCGATCTTGTTGAACGTTCACCTAATCAAAAACAACATTCTTCGAAAAAAGATTGAAATATTCTATTCTCCGATTGATTATATTTATCATAAATAAAATGTGTTAAGATCCCATAAATTTCATATCTCGCCTCAACTGGCATAAAGCAAGTTGAGGACAACAACCTGTAACGAAATTATCGTCAAGTATCGAGCCCTAATAAAACCAAAATGATTAAAATGAATAATTTTCAATAACAATATTGGTAAGTTGAAACAACTGAATAATCAATATCCATTGAAAATCAGGAAGCTCTGGACTGCTAAGACTCTTCAGCAATACACATTCGTGGCCTCATCGGGAATTCGACCCAAACCCTCAGACTCTTATCAACCTCTAGACATGGTAAGTCGTTCATGTGTACAACTGACGAGTTTCATGCCAAGACAAAATGGTTATCCTGGTTTACAGTGCTTATCAAAATAAAAACCAACTGGTGATGTAAACTATAGAAAACTCACATTCTTCACAGACCATCTATAATTATTAAACATGAGTTAAAACAGATTCAGAACTGGGTGTGTTATGTAATACCTAAGAAATTCATCGATATTATTCGAAACAATAGTTGATATTCACTTAGTATTGTTTGTTTGAATCTTCCCATTGGTGTTTACGACTGAAATTGATCAGTCTCTTATTTGCAAATGTGCATACTGTGCGTATTGCCTAGATATAGCCTTCATTCTGTTCAAGTCTCATTAAAATGATATTCTTTTAATGAACTCCCAATATTCATTCGCGAAAGTGCATAAAACGTTTACAAGAATAATTCAAAAGTATTTTCGTTAAATTATTAAACTCAGATAATATAAAGTGATCAAGTATAAATCAAGCACTAAATCTAAATATTAGTCTGGTAAGACACATGAAGATTCTATGTTTATCATTTGTACTTTACGCTACAGTAATAGTAATGTATTATTCTACGTATAATTTAGATTACAAGCGTCGAATAGGTACTGTCTTGCAGCTTGATACTTGGATTACAAAAGTTTCTCGAATGTGTTTGATTTGCTTTTATTGCCTACCCATTTCCTTCACATTCAGTTCAAATGTGTCTTTCATTGAACACGTCTACTATCTTGAAACACCAAACACAAAGTAACTACAGTTTTATTTCATTGTAATGGAGCTGTTTATTCTATATAAATGAAAGTGTTCATCTTCTTTACTATCAAAAAGTGGTGCGCCTCAAAGCGTTCCCTCTATCCACACCCTATTCATGTCTTGTTTACTGAATAGCCCAATCTCTTCTACTGAAGTATTCCCATTAAAAGTATAGATCACATGACTGTAATTAGAACAATTCCCTTCCTGAGTTAAAACGGTTTTCACCAAGTATCAAAATGGCGATCTTTTCTAAATGCTTTTTTACACTCAATTTCTTAACTTCAAACTTAAACCTGAAAGAAACTGATCGTTCGTGATTATTGATGATTTTCCAACAAATAAATATCCCATAGTTGTTCCTCTGACCTATACTTATCTCCACATTATTTGTTTATATCGAAGGGAGTTTTCTGTCTAAATTGTATTCATAAATAGGTTATAAGTCTTCAGATTTGCCGAAATCTTAATTGTCGTATTCTTTCATATTTACTTGTGACTATCATCCACGAATATTCCCTGGACTCACATGAAAAGTTTTCATTAGGTTGCGCAGGTCATTGAAGGTTATTTGTGCAACCAGAGGTAAATCTTTTGATTTCATCATGAATATAGATGGGAATAAACATCAGAAATCTTACAAACAACTACCAATTATCGTTTTACCAAAACAAAATATTAAATTCATCAATTTCTCCTCTCCTATTCTATCCCAAAATGAGACACATTTTCATTAAAATACATTTATGTAAACGATAAATTTAAAAATTCTATGATATCTTATCAAATACACATATTACTCAACGAGAAAATAGCCATCAGAGTAGAACTATGCACACATTTCTTGTAGCTAAACATACATACTACCGATTGTAAATGTATTTTCCATAAATATAAATAATCTAAGGTCGAGTAAATAAAATAGAGAATTGACAGTGTGGATAGTAGTGGGAATGATTCTGTGTACATTTATGACACATTGGCTAAATCGAGGCAATTCGTGCAGGATGCACATATACCAAATAAGACCAATCAATCAAAAGTCAGTAAAATTATCAACAACTGGATAATCCAAACTGCTACAGATTAAATAGTAGTGAACAGCTTTGACAACTGATTGATCATTGGATGGTGATCAATATCATTTATTTCAGGTCCCTCTTACTGAAAATCAAATCCTATCGGCCAAGTCACAATATAGTCAGTAATCTAGGTCACTCAGCATTGCGTGCACTATGTTGAAATAAGATGGTGGAGGTAGTCGACAACCACGATCTTAGTAGTGAACTGTCTTGTAAAACAATTTAATGTGCTTTGGTGAACAAATTAGAAGTTCGACTTGAAGAATATATATTTTAACACGCTCGACGAAAAATAACGGTAGTACTAGGAGATAGATCGTTTTAACTTATCTATCAGGCTTTACTATTTATAACACAACTCCTCGTGCAAATGTACCATTCTAGACTTAGTCTTTTGAACAGTATTTTCCCTTCCTTTATGAAAGTTATTTGAGCTAAGTAAGGAGCTGATTACTTCGGATACTCATTCTAACCTACTGTGATCTCATTACAGCTACTAGATCTTCCACACTTATCCATCATATATATTATTGTTAACCTTTAAGTCAACTGACTTAAATGAGTTCTTTACACTTATACACTAAAGCATTTATTCATACAGCCACATGGTGACTTATTACTCACCTTGGCAGGATATATCACATTTCATCCTCCAACATACATCTTAAAAACATATATTTCTGAATAACTAGGTATTTATCAATTACACAACACCACAATTACAAAAACTAGAATTACTAATAGATCAGTAAAACGTACATTTATGTTGTGTTTGATACGATGTTTAATACGTAGAGGGAAAACACCAATTCCCATTAAAGGAAGCCAACATGCCTCATTTGAAATGTTATACACATGACAAAGATAACAAGGGAAACAAAATCCTGCACAAAGACCTGTAAACATAAAACACCATTCAAACAACAGATTTGATGTATTTTCTAAAACATTTTTGAAGGTATTTAATCTATAATTGAGTATTAGCAGATGTATTTTCAGATCGAGAAAATATGACATTAACTACCGTTCACTGATCAATTATTGTGAAACTATCAGTCATACAGGAGGTTGATCAAGGCACTACTAGCTTATTCGTAGATCTTTTCATTATGACATTGAGTGACACAGGTTCGAAGTCACAGTGAACATTACTACCCTCAGGATTGAAGGCACGCTCAACTGAAAATCAATAACTAGGGCGATATCTTGGTACACAACTTTCTGTCACTTTGATGCAAACATCTAATGTATTCTTTGAACGATGGGTCACTGGATTTTGACTAAGTGGTCTAAAACTGACGCACCGGTACTCTCATCTAAACATCCTGGGCCTGTGATAAATGTGAGCTACAGATTGAATAGTATCAAATTATTGCAATGAAGTTAGCCGAGTTACTTACTTTACAAGCGGTTGAAGAACAAACTGAAAATCTACTTCCCCTACACTATCGTCTAGTAAGAAGAAACGTAATACAACAACCATTAATAATTCGTCCAACTACATTTTTAATTATTGAATTGTTAGTTAGTACTATTGTGTCTAATTTGAAAAATAAGAGAGATTTTCAATCGTCAGTCAACAAACAAAATCATCATCTCAGTAAATTATTATTGCTTACATGATTCACAATCATCGAAACAGCTACAAATTCCAGAACTCCATTCTCTCGTTAGGGAATATCCTTGTGTGGGCTGCTAAAAATTAAATTTATCACGATAGATCGAGATTTCCAAAACAATTAAAGCATAAGAATGCACAACTTCAATCGGTTCACTGAATAAGTCTAGTTTTGTTAATATACTTTTAAAATACTGTTATGCTTGACACTAAATCGATTCCGCGGCAACGAACGAAAGCCAATGACACAATGACACGATAAGCTATTCTAATCGGTTGTCCCAGGCCCCGCTAACTAGATGAAGAAGTCCAAGGCAAGTAGGGGAATATATATATATTCCGTAAGCAGCCGAGTACAAGCAAAGCAAATCAAATAAGGGGAAAAGTCAAGCGCATTTATACAGTAACAAATTGTCCTTGAGCATCACTAGTAAATAGCACACATAAAGAAACAATGGACCAATAGCGTTTAAGATAGTTTACAAGTGGGAAATATGACGTGAAGGTAAAAAGAGCGCTTTTGGCGCGAAAACAGCTAAATTCAAATTTTCAAAATAAAACTACAAGATTAAGCCATTTACCAAGTAAGTTCTGGGGATTTGACATCCCCAACAAATACCAAGATGTAGATATACTCAAATGCTGATTACTTCTCCAGTGTTATTGCATTCATCGCAATGGTTGGTAGTGAAAATAAATACTAAAGTAAATACTAAAAACACCGCCCTTTCTTTCGAAATATATGATATAGCTTGTTGACCTGATTGACAATAAAGTAAGTGGTGCGCCATGATGTTCATTTTATATCATGTGAGTATATTATGTGTTTGTCTCTCCACCGCGAATAATATCCTAAGTCACTCAAGCGCTGGTTGCGTGAATTAACACAACTGACTAGATGAGTTCAGTCTATGTGTATTCCACAGCGTACTATGGTTTTGTTTTACACTCTAGAACATATGACGCAATTAGTTAACAAATGAAGACTCGTCACTCACAAAATATTATCCTACACAGTTGTCTGAACGTATATGCTAAAGGCATATCGCTTCTCACCAAACTATTTGGAACCACAAATTACAAGTCAGTCAGTCACAACGTAGAACTTCGTACACCAGTTCGAGTCGTCATTCTACATTAGCACAGAGATGCAGTTGTCCATTCAAATCCCATAGTGGTAGAAGTAGTAAGAGTATAAGCAGTAATCGTAAAGATTAGGGTTTGAAGATGATATTCAAGGAGTATAATCCACTGAAATAAATTTCGGATATCTCGACTAGGCTATAAATGACGCAAGCTGGCGATAGCTAGACGAGCCTCCTGTATCCCTACTGACCAATTATTAAACACACGATAGATCCGCATATTTGTTTACACCAGTTACACTGTAGTGAACAAGAACAGGAGTGGGGACAATGGAATGCATTTGAGCACGAAATTACACAATATCTCACTAAAATCTGACAACCATACAGTAAACGGTTAATTTGCAAACTATCAGTCAAGTGTCTCAATCTTGACTGTTCCTTCTGTAAACATCAGTCCATAGTCTCTGATTTCATTGTTCATGCATTTTCATACCAACTGCGTTTCGTTCCCGTTCTTTCCTTATCCATCTTCTACTGAAATACATTCAATGCCCAACCACCGTTGCATACTCCCCATATGGAGATAAGTAACCCACACCGCAACACCTTTATCTTACACCATAGTAAACATTCTTCTTTCATAAATAAAAGTCAACTTAATGATTGACAATGATATTTAGGAATCATAATATTAAGTGACTGGTCGATGAAAGCAGTAGTCATCTAGGCAAATATGACTGGTGATGTAAGGAGAATCAGAAACTATCACAAAATAAAGAATTATCCTCACAAATATCTCTCACATTACCTGACACAAATTCAAACTGTGTATTCTCTTGTAAATATATACCTTGTATAAAACAACATTCTACAGCATTGGTTGTAACAAGAGCTTAAACGGCCAGAAACAAGTGGTTACATATCAGTAGTCACTGATAGGGATAAAATGATTAAATCTTAGTTAAGGAAATAAGATTACTAATCCCAGAGATAGTTGAATGAATATTTGTCAACAACCCATTTAGTAATTATGGTTTTTAGATATCACAGGTTGTAAGCATCTGACGAGAGTCAAACGAAATAAAATGAATTCACGCTATTCTGCTACAATGTCTAGTTTCTATTGGTTCACAATGATTGCTTGGTGAAATTGAGTCTTTCAGGTAAACGATAACCTGGTGAAATTGAAGACTTACACTAGACTAAGCTAAACTTCAAAATTAAATCTCGACATCTTTTGATGGTGTGCATTAGTTTCAACTTGGTTGACAACAGTTTCGAGACTAGTTTAGTGTCAGTTTAGTAGCATCAACCTCATTTCAATCTGAAATTCTTATAAATCACGAAATCCACATTCATTTAGCTTTCTCAACGTCACATAACTAATAAAATAATATTTAAAGCATTTAATACACAAACACAATTTCAGCACTTAATTCATGAAAACAAAAATTGACAAAAGTAAAACACATACAAACATTTCTTAACACTTACCATTACTGCCATAGGCTGCTGTAAAACAACAGTGGTAGGTTGTCCGCTTGACCGCACCTCAACCATTGCCAGTTGATTTATGTTAAGAGCACTTTCCGAGTTTATATATATATATATATATATATATATATATATATATATATATATAATCAGCCACTGAGACACCAGACATTCACGTGATTGCCCCAGTTTTGGACAGAAATCATAACTGAGACTGCATGTTAGTTATTTCTATCGTACGATTAATTGTTCTCTTCATGGGCAATTATGACCTTCAGTACACACACCACCATATTATTTCACGTATTCCATGCTGTGAGCTTTCAGGTGTCTCGTGTATGTCTGTACACTCATTATTTTATTCAATGTCTGTCCCATCCACCAAGCATCATTTCGGTTATATTTTAAAGCTTGTAACGATTATTTTGAATTGGCTGGTATGCTAACTTCATGTTGTGCCTGTTTACACTTCGATAACTTGATTGTCTGCCTATGACTAAATCCATGCTTGAAATAAATGTATCGCCACAACACTTCACACTTCCTGTTATGTGATCCAGACCAATTGTGTGGGCACTGTTTCGCTAATACCCACCCTTTTTTATTGCAACTTGATTGGTCAAGTCTCATGGATAATGCCACTATTTTATTGGATGGTTCTAATCAATTTTCTAGAAGTGGTCAACCTGGATTAGTAATTAATTAAGACAAGTAATGGTGGTTCAAATTTATGTTAGTGGGCTAACTGTTCGATAATGGGAATGTTAGTTATCGACGATGATTTAAGCTTAGAACATGTTCAACAGTAAATTCTGTGTATGGCCATAATTACAGTCATTTGATGTGGAATGCCAACAAAATCCGAAATATAAAATGTGTAAACCAGTATACAACTAGAATTAGCAATTTAGCGAGTAAATTAGGATGCGCACATAATAATCATTTTCCTTATTATGAAAGTAACAGTATAGATGATGGGATTAGACCATCACTCATGTAGTGATGGTTAATAACAGGATAGTGTTTTGTAATGTCACTGGAAATGAATTAGAGATATAGACATCGTTTTCCTGTCCAAAGAGTTCATTTGATTCATCACGCCTCACAGTATTACTCTACTCAAAAGCAACTCGACTGTCAACTGAGCCACCACATGTTTAAATGAAATAAAAATAGGAGACACCTAAAAATACTCACTTGTCAACTGTTGTACAAATGAAATATGTATATTGTCAAAATTGTGTAGTGTAAGATCTCAATGGTGAATACACTCTACATGCAAACGAATCTAACGAAATTTGAATAGTTCACTCTTAATAAACACAGGTTTAATGTGATCGTAATTACTAGTTTGTCTGAATACAGATTAACCTAATCAACAACAAATGAAGATTACCACTTTTTTAAAGAGTTGTAGTAAACTTGTCCTATATCTACAACATTCAACCTAGGGACAATTAAATAGTTTGCTCGAGATCGTAGATCTTGGGTTCAAGTGCCATGTGCGGATCGTTGATATCCACAGCTGAAGAGTCTCATTGTAAGATGAGACAGCTGTCCATCACTTTCAGGTTCTCAAGAGTGATCTAACATTGATGATTTCATGAATTAAATGAAATCGGAAGAAGAATGTCGACATTTCAATGAGGAAAATGTTCTTTCGGAAACTAGCACTTTCTTAAACTTTACAGTCGTTATTAGCATGTGTACTATATGCTGAATTATAATATTCGTCTGTCGTTTGTTATTAGTTTCATCACAAATTTAATATACAATTTTCATTTCAGTACAATGCCAACTGAAACATGTAATATGTGCGTACAATTGTATGTACATTAAATAATAGTAAGACACGGGCACAAAACAATATACCACAAATTATTTCGACGAATTCACGTTATTAGTTACCATTGTTTTTACATGAAATTAAATCTTATTAATATAACGACTTTTAATGCCCAACAATCAAAATATAGAAAGACTTTGAAAATTGAAACCAAATTGAAAAATAAACACTTGTGAAATTCTACATGATATACAATATTTGACATTCATCTTAATGATTTAATATCAAAGTATAAATATAGTGTTAATATATATACATGCATATATTTACAAATTACAAGGACTATTAGGCTGAGATAGTTACATGTATATTGATATGACCAATAAATCACTTCAATGTACAAAGATGAAAACGCACTAATTTTGTTTAGTTTCTAACCATCTACATGGTACTGAATAATTGTGTTTCGATTGAATAAACCTATTGTACGGAACGTTCTAAGATTACATGTTTTTTTCACATGCAAACAGTAGTGCTTCTCGTTAACCATGCAGAATAGTATTCTTGGATCTTGAATGAACAGAATGCATAGTGAACGATCAATACTACTTCACTTCATAGGAATGATAAAATAAAAATGAAGAGACCAAATACAAGACATCATCGTTTAACGATAACTATAGGTCAACATAGAATCGTTTCTAAGATTCTATCTTCACGATTAATGAATAAACTTTTTTCGGATCTCTTTTAATATTGAAACTTGTCGAGCTAGCAGTTCAAACTGTTTAGTCCAACAAAAATGATAAATTCAATGAAGCTGATGATTTATGCTTAAACCAAGTCAGATTATCATTACACCTTTTTGATGTGTCACTGAAAATAAACAAATTTGATTGTTTTGTTTAGTTCGGGCACGTTAGATCAGACTAAATGACAGGAGAGCAGCTGTACTTATCCAGTCACTACATATACAGATTAACTAGAATCCACTGTCTATATCACACCAATGAATTTCGGCTAAACAATGACAAACTAAATGTGAGATAACGGTCGAATGTACCAGTAAATGATTATTGATCCAGAGTACAGTTTCTCACACTCTCCAGAATACACAACAAATCAGAGAATCAATGGATTTCGATCATACTGTTGAAATTCATGAATTATTCACCTAGTAGTATGGAGCCAAATCTTGACAACACATCAACAGAATTAAGTAATTACAATATAGACATAACCACTCCATAAGTGGAAGCGAGCTGAATGATAGATCTGTAGTAAATTAACAATCACTTTGGAAAGGCACAACATACAACAATTGTCTTTGGACCAGATGGAGATTTACAGATAGAGGAACACAAGAATAAAATAGTTTAAGTATTCAATGAATATATTACAAAATTATAAACCATGATCGGATAGGACCATTCAATTTTGGTTTATATTTACCTCGACATAGCACTTTTCTTCCATTTTTCTGAGCTACAAATGAAATTATATTTCATCTACGTTTCACAAACCAGTGGACATCTGAGCTCAGTAGCTAAACAGATAACTCGCCGTTAGTTAATAGTGAAAGACTCTGAGTCTGAATATTGGATGGAACGTTAACATTGGGGAACAGGTGAATTCAGGTGACAAGTCTAAATTAAATGGAAGTGTGGATCCTGAGTTCCATTCCCATCTACTCTCAAAACTTCGCTTAATGACACTCTAAGGACAATCCTCTCAGGATGAATATATAACAAGAAGAGGCCGATCGGAATGTTTAAACCATTACAAAAGAAATCAAAACAATTTTTCTGAAATTCCGGTCTTTATATAGATCCAACCATTTGCATAGATTTTTATTAATAGCTTATCATGAATACAATTTTTATCCGCCGCACAATTATACTAATTGCCATGATCAGCCACCAAATATTTGTGGATGTCAGGGAAGGAATTTACTCCAATTCATAATAACTATCATCTCAATGTTGTGCAGGTTTTTTCACAATAGATTGATCATTCTAAATAATGTCTTCGAAAAAATGACTTTTTGTATATATGGAAAATCTATGTATTAGTGTGGAGCTATGGTAAAGACCTAAATAGAAGGAAATGTTTCTCAGCCTAATCGATATTAAAACACATCTGTTTAGTGATAAGAAAAGTGGGATCGAACTTGTACAAGTTATTTATTTGGAATTAATTTACTAGGATAGTGATTTAGATTAGTCATTAGAGTAGTTAAAAAACAGCTTGAACAAATATCTGCAGTGTAATGAAAAGACCGAGTTGATTCGAAAAATGCCACGCATTTGCAGTATAAATCTTGAAGAATCTTGACAAATACTCTAATAAATACATAGATAAGAAAACCATGCTCCTCTATAACAAAACACTTCGTTGAAACAGTTCATTGGATCATTTTAGAAACAGCTTTTGACACCTTCTATAGGAATTGTAAGGTGAAAATTCCTAATTTTATAGAAGCCTTAGTTATCATAAAACTCAGGCATTAGATTTTTATACAAATGCTGTTTGCTCTAATCTTGAATTTACCCCGATAATCTTAGCTCCAGAGCTTATAGTGAGTCGTTTAGTTGAATTCAATATAAAAAATAAAATTATGTGGTAAATAATTACGATTACCATAAATCCTGTTTTTTTTCTAGCCTATGATTACTTTGTTTATAAACATTTTCTCACATGATCGTCAATTATTAATAACATTGTAAGCTATGTTAACTCCTGAATATTACAAATAGTTAATGTGAACTTTCCCTATGCATTTTGAAATACTTAAATTCATGAGTCGATTAAAGCTATACCATCATGGAGAACCTGGAAGCACTGGACGACCGTTTCGTCCTAGTATAGGACTCCCGCGATCGGGATCATAGGTGCACACTGATGGGGATTTCCATACTGGGACGAAACGACCATCCAGTGTTTCTACGTTCTCCATGGCGGTCTAGCATTAATTCACTCATAAATTCAACTATTAACTTACTACAATCTCCACAAAACCACCATTCTGATGATTTTGAAATATCAGAAGGGCTTCTGTGGAGATTTCAGTATTTGCATAGTTGAAATCATGAGTCAATTGAAGCCAGATCGCCATGTAAAGCCTAGAAGTAAGGGACGGCCGTCTTGTCCCATTGTGTGACTCCTCGGCAGTGCGCATCCACGATCCCACCTCATGAGATTCGAACCTATGACTTATCAGTATCATGATTTCAACTATGCAAATACTGAAATCTCCACAAAATCCCTTCTGATGATAATCATATGCTCACTAGTGACTGACTTCAAGAGATATTTCCTGCAGTTATAGTTAGAAGCAAT